AACTTGTTTCTATCAACAAATGTTGGGCGCTGAGCGCGGGGCAATCTAGCCAGTATATGTTGTTTACTCGATGTGTGCGTTATACATATAATTATATACATGTGTCTGCACCATATGTATATATATACATACCTGCCCATAATATCTCTAAATTTACGGCTTGCATTATATGTACACCGATCGGTGTACAAGTGTATGCAAGTGTATAAATGAGGACACGTGCGTTGTATAATCCGCGTGGTGCAAGTCATGCTGTTTAATAATTTGTTTGCAAGCTCTTTGGTGCAGCCTAAGTTTGTCGAGTCCCTGGACGGCGTTCGAATGATTTCGGCATGCGGCGCGAGAGGCCCGTTTGGCCGAAATCAACTGAAACGTTGAATTTCAAATGGCATTTTTTTCAGAAGTCCTTGACGCTTCGCGTATCCCCACCAGCGCTTTACGCCCCCGATCCTCAGTGTCGGACAAGCTGCAGGCTGTGGGTTCAGACGACATGATAGACTGGTCCGTTTCTGGGCTTTGGTCGCTCGCTTGCCCAACAGCGTCCCTTGAGCCACTGTGAGTGAGGTTTCCATCTGTGCCCTCCCTTTTTCCTACTGCCGCGTGCCCTCGCGCCCGCCGTGTCTCCCCCCTTTTTCTTTCCTCGCCCACTGTTGCACGGTCGGTGCGGCCACGCCTGGTCACCCCGTGCCGCCGCTGTGCGGCGTGCCGCGCTGTTCGGTACGGCTGGAGCTTGGCGCCACGTGTGCGACTGCTCCCCGTCCGCTTCCATGTTTGTGCTTGCGTTCCCTTCTTGTCGGGCCGCCAGCGCCAGCCCCCAATGCGGGTCATTTTGTCCCTTGCGTGTGCACTCGCTTCAGTGGCCTATGCGCCCCTGCGGCTAATTATCTCGCTCTGTGCCCCAGTCGTGTCCGACCCGTTTCAAGGATCTGTCCTCGGAGCCGCCGGTAAAAAAATATCCCCACCAACCTATCCAGAATCGATTACCCGGTGAATTGGTTAATCAGGGGCGCTTGGAAGCACGAGGTCGCGCAGCCGTTTTGGAAGCTGCCAAATTGGGCGGGCAGTGCCTTGCGGCCAGAACGTTGGGACCACGCGTAGCTTCGCGAAATGAAGTTTGGGACAGAAGTCAATGCAGCATTTTCAATGGTGTTCCTTGTGGGAAGCGTGTCTGGCGCAGGTTGCTGCATGTGCGGTCCGACAGCAGTGTTGCGATGGGCATCCTTGATTTCGCTCTTGCACGGGTTTGCAGATTCAGTACGCGTGCCTTTTGAAAGTGTCCAGGTGTTGGTGCTGCCGCAGATGCTGCCTCCGACGTTCGTTCCGTTGATGTTGCTGGTGTTGTTGCTGTTGTTGGTGTTGGTGTTGTTGCTTGCGTTGCTGCTTGTGGTGTTCCTGCTGGTGGTGGTGCTGCTGCTGTGGCCATCGTGGGGGTTGGTGGAGAAAGCGGGGGAGGAGGAACAAATCGCTGTCGCTCCTCCGATGAAGTTTAAGATGAACACTGGTGCAATACACGCCGTCCGGTTCCCCGTGGTAAACGTTTGTAGCGTCTTACCAAGGTGGCTTGATTGGCAGCGCCAGTTGGTTGGGAGTTCTCTTGTAGTGAAGAGTTGCGGTTGTGCTGTAGCTGATGGTATCGTTGGTGTTGTCGTTGTAGTTTGTTTTTCTGGTACCGCTGCTGCTGGTGTTGATGTTGGTGCTGCTGCTAGTGCTGCTGGTGCTGGTGATGCCTGGGGCCAGCTTGGGGGTAAGATACGCAGTAGGAGGAGGTGGAGGGGGAGGAAGAGGAGGAGGAGGAGGACAAGGACGGGAGGGAGGAGGAGGAGCAGGAGGAACGCGGCGCGAGGAGGACGAAGAGGAGCAGTTGGGCGGCAGCAAAGAAGCAAGGAAGGGACGGACGATGATAAGGAGGACGGGGTGTTTTGAAGATATGTCGTGGTGAGGGGTTCTTCGAAGATTCGTAATGTCATTTGGGCGCCATTTTGGAGTCCGCTTGGGGTCCTCTCGGGGCCTTCTTTGGGCCCTCGTGGGGCTCTCTTGGGGGGGTTTGGAGCCCTCTTAGGGCTCTTTGGGGGGCTGGGAGGCCTCGTAGGGCTGTGTTGGGCGCAATTGTTCAAAAGAGAGTGGGTCTTAATTCCCGCCGCCCCTTCGAAGGCTCAAACATGCTTTTTGGGGGCCCTCTTGGCCCGCTCTTGGAGCGCTCTTGGGCGTTCTTGGGGCCGTCTTGGGGGCCTCTTGGGGCTATCTTTGGCCGTCTTACGGCCATCCAGAGGCCTCGAGCCCATCGGAGGCTAACACATTGTGATGTTCCTTAGGTTTTGAAAGATGTTGGCCCTTGGTGGGGGTCCTTGGAGGGCTGGGAGACCACTTGGAACCGTCTTGGGGCTGTCTTGAGACCTCTTGGATGCGTGACGGAGGCCATCTTGAGATATATTGGGCGATCTTGGAGGCCATCTTGGGCTATTCAAAGCCCTCTTGGAGCTATCTTGGGCCAACAAGGACGCTCTGATACATCGCGGGGGAGCCCGTCCACATCCAGGGAGGGGGAGGAAGGTAAACCTCCCGAGCAGGGAGAGGAAGGAGGTTGAAAAAGGAAGCGCCCTAGACCACCTGCACCCAGAGCGCAGGCATGTTTTAAAGTTAGTGTCGCAAAACCATGTGCTTTTGTATGCCTTCGGGATTCGTTTTTCACATCCGAACGACTCGTCAGGCTTTTGAATGATTCCGGCCTCCGCGCGTGACGACGCGCGCGAGTGCATTTCGTTCGGTGTTTTGTTGCAATGGGATCTTGCGACATCACGATCGCAAGGGCGCTCTTGCGATTCCGACATGCCCGCGCGAGAGGCACGTTTGGTAGCGTGTTATGAAAACGTTGGACACAACCGGTCAGGTTTGTGAGAAATCAGGAAGAGCCCGCGCGAACAGTTCCTTTATCTGAGAGTTCTTGTTGGGAACTGTGTCTTTACATTTCGGGACAAGTAATACTTGCCGTCCTTACGAACCCTAGTATTTTCCGCATGCGCGCGACGACGCGCGCGTGTACAGTTCGTCGCTTGTTTTCTAAGGGATGTGTGTCATCTGATGGTTTTGTTAACAAGTGTGCGCGCACAGTTTTTTCTCCATAACTTGGGATGGTATGGGTTGATATTTGTGACGGGCGATGGGGCATAATGACATGTAAATGGTATTATGCGAAGATGACATTTAAGTCCAGGGGGGGGAGGTAGATCTCATTATTTACTTACAAAGCGACGAGGTGGCGACGGTGCGGCGATGGCCGGAACGGAACCGCCAGACCGACAGGCAGGCCCAGACGACGGGCGGCGACGAGGGGGCAACGGGGCGGCGACGGCCGGCACGGAGCCGCCAGACCGACACACAAGCCCAGACGACGGGAGGCAACGAGTCGGCGACGGGGCTGCCACGCAGGCCAGACCGACACACAGGGCCAGTTCATTAGACCAGCACTGAGAAGCCCTAAGGGCAAGCAGTTTCGAGGGTTTCCATTACATGTCTGTGTGTGTGTGCGGACGCGTTACTCCCGTCCTTGTCGTCCTCGTCCTTGGCTTCGCCGTCGTCCTCGTCGCCGCCCTCCCCGTAGGCTTCGGACGGGATGAAATGCTCAGTCCTTGTGCATGTCCCGATTGCCGGCATCCGGAGACAGCACTCTGGCCCTGGGGCAATCGGGAGTGGATCTGGGATGAGAAGCTTGGCCTCGCGAGGGAGTGGATCGGATGTCTGGGGCTCTCGGCTTCTACAGGTCGACCCATCGGATGCTTGGGTCAGCCCTGTCCATCTTCACGGGCAAATGGCCGCAGGCAGTTGGCGTTTTAAAGTTCCACTCTTTCTTTGAGGTTTTTTGTGAAAGTTTTGAAGTGCATCTAATGTTTTTGTCTGGCAGGTGGCGTTTTAAAACTCCACTCTTTCTTTGAGGTTTTCTTTTTTTGTGGAGGTTTTGAAATGTATCCAATGTCTTTTGGGGCGTGTATCTGCCTTCAGTGGCGAGTGGGGTGAGTGGCGGACGGTTGGTGCGGGGCGTGTGCCGCTTTTTGCCACTAGTTGCTTGCCGCTATTTCCGGCTATTCGCCGCTAGTCCGCCAACATCTTGATTCATCATCCATGTGCATTGTCTTGCATGGCGCCCGACGCGGCGGGTGCCAGTGAAACGTTGCCCTTGAGCCCACCTCCTGTGCTCAACCCTCCGCGACCCCCTCCACTGCCCACTTCTTCTCTCCTCTGCCCCTCCTTGCCAACCTCCCCTCCCCGATCTCCCTTCGTAGAAGACACTTAAAAATAAACATCAACTTTCGGAGATCCTCGCGGATTTCTTGGATCGGCGCTGGAGCCTGTGGCGCCGCCCTTTGCGCGCTCCGCGCGCCAGGGAGGGGTTCCATGGCCGATGCAAGAAGTCCGCGTGGACCTCCGAAAGAGGTTGCAATGCCGTGCTTTGTTCCTCTCCAGTCAAGTTGTTGAACTATGAACCACCTTGGCCCCGAGACAGGCTACGATTTCCGAGCCGTTCCTTCGATCGAGGTCGCTGAACCCATTCGTGGCCGAGGCTCGCCGTGGCGAAAAGGGCCCCTTGTTGTTCTTTCTTTCAGCGCTCTTCCTGGTAGCACAGTCTCTGTATCCTTGTGGAGGACGATCAATGGAGAAGAAACATGTTGCCAAATACTTTCCAGATGTCTAGAGCATGTGTTAAACATGTGTTAAACACGTGGAAACATGATTAAAGCATGTCTAGAACAGTTTCCCGACATTCTAGAAACATGGGACATTCAATCACAGGATTGTTAGGGTGTCCACTGTCGTGGCATCCACAACTGTATCCCTGCGCCCTCCCCCCCGAGCCCTCACCGCCCTCCCCCTCCCCCTCCCGCTCCCGCAGCCGCCCCGGCTTTGGCCCGGCGGCCGCCACGACCTGGCGAGACCTGGGGGCACTCCGCTCCGACACAAAGACAGGCCTTGGAATGTCGTCCTACCAGTGGGAGGGCGGCATGCCGATGGGGGGGGCGCAGTACGGCCAGGACCTCGGAGCCGTCTGGGGGTCCGAGGCGGCCCAGTATTCTTGTTACCGGCCAGCAGGACGGGCTGGCAGGTTCGAGGTTCTGGGTCCGGGAACGCTTTTTCCTAACCATCCTGTCTTGTTGGGTCTTCGTTTTGATCAGACAGCGCCCCCTCCCGCTCCTCCCTCCTCCCGTCATTATTGCCTCGGCCCTCCGCATGCCAGTCATGTCGTCACACCCCTCGCGCGCTTCGTGGCCCCATAGGAAGCTCCACCGAGGGCCCCAGTGGCTGCGGTCGCATGGCACCCCCGTGCCCGTTTCGGCACTCCCATCGCACGTTCCGTGGCTCCATGGAGAGCTCCCCCGAAGGCCCCAGTGGCTGCGCTCGCGTGGCACCCCCGCACCCGTTTCGGCGCACCCCTCACATGTTTCGCCGTGGCCCCGTATGGAGCTCCACAAGGGGCCCCAGAGGCTGCGCTGGCATGGCACCACCGCACTAATTTCGACACACCCCTTATACGTTTCGTGGCACCATAGGGAGCTCCATCGAAGGCCCCACTGGCTGCGCTCGCATGGCACCACCGCGCCCCTTTCGACCCCCCCCTCGCACGCTTCGTGGCCGCATGGGGAGCGCCACCGAAGGCCCCACTGCCTGCGCTCGCATGGCACCCCCTCACCCGTTTCGGCAAACCCGTCACACGTTTCGAGGCCCCATGGGTCTGTCCACCGAAAACCAGTGGTTGTGCTCGCATGGCACTAACGCGCCCATTTCGGCACACTCATTACGCTTTCCGTGGCCCCGTAGGAAGCTCCACCGAAGGCCACAGTGGTTGCGCTCGCGATGCAACACCGCACCCATTTCGGCACACCCCTCACGCGTCGTGGCCGTGTTGGGACCTCCACAAATGTGCCCCAGTGGCTGCGCTCGCATGGCACCACTGCACCCATGTCGGCGCACCCATCACACGTATGACACCACTACACCCATGTCGACACACACACACACACACATCACACACACACACACACACACACTTCGTGGCCCCGTAAGGGGCCCAACAGAGGGCCAAAGTGGTTGCGCCCTCATGGCAGCACCGCACTCAGTTCGCACACGTTGTGCCTACCCATGGGGAGCTCCACCGAAGGCCCCAACTGCTGCCTTCGCATGGCACCTCCGCGCCCGTTTCGGCGTACACGTTACACGCTTCATGGCCCTATACGGAGCTCCACCGAAGGCCCCAGTGGTTGCGCTTGCATGGCGCCGCCGCGCCTGTTTCGGTACACCCCTCACACGTTTCGTGGCCCACATAGGAGAGAGCGCGTTTCACGGGCGCTTGCTTTGGGAACATTCGGCGGCGCGTTTCGAACCGGGGGGTGGGCCCCCCCCCCAACACTCGGCGCCGTCGATCAAAACCAGGGGGACTCCCCTCCCTCCCAAACCCCCCCCCCCGACCCCCCCCACCTCTTCCCAAGGGGGCGGGGTTAACCCCCACCCCCTCGGCGCCGGGCCGGCGCCGGCGCTGGCGGCCGCCAGCAGCGCCGACGGCGGGGACGCAGCGACGATGACCAGAGGCAGCCCAACGGGAGGGAGGGGTGGGGTTCAACCCCCCCCCCTGGCGCCGGCGCCGGCGCTGGCGGCGGCCAGCAGCGCCGGCGGTGGCGCCGGCGACGGCGGGGACGCAACGACGATTACCACCACGATCACCACCACCACCACCATTACCACCACCACCACCACCGCCTCAACCCACCACCACTTCCAACCCACCACACAACCACCACCACCACCACCACAGCCACCACCACCACAACTACCACAACCACAACTCGCCATCACCACCACCACCACCACCACCACAAAAAAAACCCACCACCACTATCACCGCCACCACAATTTACCACACTACCACCACTACCGCCGCAACCACCACCACTACCAGCAGCAGAACCCACCACCACCACAAACCACCACACCACCACTACCACCACCACTGCCACCACCACCAGCACCACCTCCACAGACCACCGCCACCACCACAACCCACCACCACCACCACCACCACCACAAACCACCAACACGCAACCCGCAAACCACCACCACCACAAATCACAACCACACCACCAAACCACCACCACCACATTAAAACCACCCACCACCACAACCACCACCACCACAACACAATCCACCACCACCACCACCACCACCACCACCGCCACCACCACCGCCGCCACCACCACCACCACCACCACCACCACCACCACCACCACCACCACCACCACCACCACCACCACCACCACCACCACCACCACCACCACCACCACCCCCGCCACCACCACCACCACCACCACCGTCGTCCTCGTCGACGCCGCCGCCCGCCGCCGCAAGCGCCGGCGCTGGCCCAGAAAAAGAAATGGCCGTCCCCGTCGCCGCCGCCAGCCGCCACCGACGCAGGCGCGCCGGCCTTAGGAGAGGGAGAGAGGAAAAGTAGGGGACGGAGGGGGGGGTTCGACACCCCCCCTCCGCCACGGGAAGAGGAGGGGGGGGGAGGTGGGTCGAACCCCCCCCCTCCATCCAGGGGGAGGGTGGTGGTCCGGTTCCCCTTCCAAGCGACCACAGAACGCGTTCTTTTCCCCAAAGGGAGCTCCCCCGAAGGCCCCAGTGGCTGCGGTCGCGTGGCACCACCGCGCCCGTGTCGGCAGATTCCTCACACGTTTCGCGGCCCCACGGAGATGCACCGCACCAATCTCGTCACAACCCTCACACGTTTCGTGGCCCTGTTGGGAGCTTCGTTGAAGGCACCAGTGGTTGCGGTCGCATAGCACCAGCGCGCGACTTCCGGCGAACCCCTCGCACGTTTCGTGGCCCCGTAGGGCAATCCCGCAAAGGGCACCAGCGGCTGCGTCGCATGGTGCCACTGCACGAATCTCAGCACAGCCTCCACACATTGCCCAAAAGTGAGCTCCACCGAAGGCCCCAGCGGCTGCGCTCGCATGGCGCCACCGCGTCCATTTCGCCACACCCGTCACACGCTTCGTGACCCCATAAAAGGGGGTTCCACCGAAGGCTTTTGTGGCAGCGCCTGCCTGGCACCACCGCGCCCGTCTCGGCACACCCTCCGCTCGCTTCGTGGCCCCATAGGGAGCGCCGCCGAAGGCCCCAGTGGCAGCGCCCGCATGGCACCACCGCGCCCGTTTCGGAGCGAACCTCGCCCGCTTCGCTGCCTCATAAAAGGGGGCTCGACCGATAGCCGTCACACGCTTCGTGGCCCCAAAGTGAGCTCCATCGAGAGGGGTCGGTACCCACAACGCGGATTTTCACAATTGCATCTGTTTGGTTCGTTCGCCAGTGGGCCCATGCACTGTCACAAACCGACGCGGTTTGACAAATTGCACCACATGGACCCGTGGAAAGGGTCCGGGAACCGATTTTGACTGGATTGGGCCTCATCCCCCGTCCTTGCCGATACTTGGGAGCCCCAACCAGTTCAGACCCACGGGTCGCCTCCAAGCCAGGACCACATGTACGGCCAGGACTTCGGGGTCCAGGGGGCGGCGTATTATGCCCAGGGCGTGCCCGCGGGGCAGCAGATGATGATGCAGCAGCAGTCAGAGCAACGCGAGGGGGAGCAGGAGAAAGGGAAAAACGGCGCGCTCCCCTGGCAGACGGAGGCAGAGCGCAAGGCGGAAAGGGCCGAGATGCGCACGATGATGAAGGCTCAGAAGGAGAAGCAGGACTTCGTCGACCGAGAGAGCACCATCAAGTGGCTGTGCTCCCTGGGCACCGTGAACGCCTTCCTGCTGATCATCCCGATGTTCGGAAATACCTGGCTGGATCAGCCGTTCATCGGCCTGGGGGTCAAGATTCTCAAAATCAAGATCTCGTTGTTCAACATCCACGTGGACGTCGAATGCGGGAAAAATTGGCTCGAGGACAAGTTCTGCAAAGGTATCGTGACGAAGATGAAGGGCACACACAGCTTGCAGGATGCTAAACAGCTTGCGTGCTCGACGACCCAGTACTTGCCAGGGAATATGGCGTGCTATATAATGTCGAAGTGTTTTTTCCTCAATCTCGCGCTCTTCGGGGCCTTCGTGCTGGCAAGCGTATTTAGCCTCTGCGGCGTCATGTTCCTGTCCCACTACTGGTACTCGAAGCCGCTGCCGAACATCAGGAAGTGGGCGTGCTTCTTCTACGGTGCGTCGGCTTTCTGCGCCGTCGGCGGGCTGGCTGGTTGGGGGATGGCGCGGGCCCCGACGGAGAACCTCCCGCGCGCCTGGACGGAGACCGCGGGGGCGGCGACCTTTGACCTGTTCGCCATCAAGCCGGTGCCGGGCCCCCCCTGGGGCTGGTGCGCCTATGTCTCGGGCATCGTCGCCTTCTCCTACGCCCTGCAGTTCCTCCTCTGGCCCGCGTGGTTCCAGCCGCACGAGAAGGAGGAGGAGGCCATCACGAACGAGGTGATGGCCCAGGAACACATCGAGCAGCGCATCCTCGACATGCAGAACAGCATGCTGCCAGGCGGCGCCATCCAACAGTGACCACGCTTGTGTGGGGGATGCCGCGAGCCATCAGCCTGGGCCGCCGCAGCAGAGGCAATGGCGCCGTTGCCTGCCAACAGCCTGGAACGCGCCCCATGGTTCGCATCTTAGCCCGCTCGGCGGATGAGCCCATTCGGCCGCCGAGTGGACCCAGGACAGGGCCCGCTCAGGAGGGAACGAGCAATGACAACAACAACTCTGCGAATTTCTCGGATCGGCGCTGGGGCCCCCTGGCAGCGCCAGGGGCGCCGCACTTGGCGCGCTCCGGAGGTCCAGCGGCCGATACGAGAAATCCGCGCGGACCTCAGAGTTTTGTGCTTCTGTCGTGGCTTGTTCCCCTCGTCCAGCCGCCGAGCGGCTCACATCACCGCCGCTTTTTGGCTGCCCACTTGGCGGCGGAGTGGGCTCCGAGGGGGGCCCTTGGAGCGGCCGGGGGGCTACCACCGAGTGGGGCGCCGATCGCCGCACCCGGATTTCCGATGATGTGACGTTTCCAGCAGGGGCGCGTTTTGCTCTCGATCTCGGCCTCATGGGTCGGGGGTGGACAGACCTCCTACCCCGACACGTCGATTAGCGAATTGGCCGTTATCGGTTCGCGAGGGGGCGTCGCGGCCGTCATTTTTGGCGGGTCCAGGTCCGTCGGTTTCGGTCCCAGGCCGCTTTCACTAAGGGGAGGTATACTAAAGGGAGGTTTGTCCACCGCCGAATGGGCCACCCGGGCCATCAGAAGCGGATGGGGGTGAGAGGCTGCCCCCAGGGGGGAGTGGTCAGGACAATGCTCGCCGCGCATGGGAATCTGGGTCGTCCTCGAGGACGGAGTCTGAGACCTGAGATCGGGAAGCCTCGGGGGAGGAGGGGGGGGGAGAGAAAGTGAGGGGGGGAAGGGACGATCGTCGGACTCCGATTGAATGCGATCAATTCCAACTCCGGCGCGTTTTGCTCTCGATGTCGGCCTCCTGGGCCGATGTGGTGTGATGTATGCGTGTTCCCAACCCCCGTGTGTGTTGGGTCCTCGTTTTAATTCGCAGCGCCGCGCGTCTCTTTCGCTCCCTACTTCCTCTTCCTGCTCCTCCTCCTCCTCCTCCTCCTCCTCCTCCTTATCCTTCCTCGTTTTCCCAGCCCTCCAGTATGTTGGGTCCTTGCTTCCAACCCTCATGTGCGTTGGGTCCTCCGTACTCCCCCCCTGGCGCAAGCCTCTGGCTCCAGCCGCTCTGGCGCGAGGGAGCCGAGCCGGCTTGCCGCGCCCGGGGCGTGCGGCCCACGGAGGAGCCAGGGGCCTGTGTGGAGCCCGGAGGGGCCACCCCCGCGGGGGTGGCCCCTCTGGGCTGAACGAGTCTGAAGCAAGTGAAAAATGACGTGATGCGAATGGCCAGCAGTGCTTTGCATAGATGCAACTGAAGATCAACCAACACAAGACTTCTCCATACAAACCTTGTATTTCCCAACATACACGTTATATGGTACGTCTACGTTCTTATTTTTAGAACTATCAGACCTCAGGGCGCGGATCTCTCCCCTCCCGGTGGGTTCCCCGCGCCGCGGCCAATCGGAGACTGCCGCGCCGCGACGGCGGCGGCGGCGCCGCTGCGCGGCCGCCCGCGCCGCGGCGTCGGCTGCCTCTGGCGCTCTTGGCGCCGCGGCAGCCCCCGCGCCTGCCGCCGGGGGCGCCGCGCGCGGCCCCCGCCGCCGCCGCCAGCGCCGCCGCCGCCTGCCGGCGCCGCCGCGGCGGCCGCGGCTTCCGCTGCTGCCGAGACCGTCGCCGCGGCCGGTCGCGGCTGTGCCGCGGCGACCGCCGCCGCCGTGGCGCCCGCCGCCGCGCTGTCGCCGGCCGCCGGCGCTTGGCGCTGCCGCGGCGACCGCTGGCTTCCGGGGTTGCTCCGCCTGGGGCGGCCGGGCCCCTGCGCAGGGCCCCTGCTGCGCTGCGCGCGCACGTCTGCGAGCGACTGGGGATGCAGGGCTCCGTGGGCATGTGGGGCACTGCCGCTTTTACCGCGGATGGCAGCACGGAAAACCTCGTCAGACAGAGGTCAAGCACGGGGTGGGCACGCTGGCGACGATCGGTTTTACATCACGCCCGAAACCACTGGCACGCCGCCCGGCAATTCGTCGCCTTCTGCGGGTCTGGAGTTCGTGGACACCCTGCAGGGGGTTCGGGGCGATCTCCCAGTTTCCCGCGGCGGGCCGGGTGCAGTTCGGGGCGTTCGGCGCGTTCGGCGAGCTGTCCCCAGCCCAACCAATCCAGTGACGCCACTGCCGCCGCAGGCGACGCCGGCTTCATGTCGCTGACGTCCAGTCACATCGAGGAGAAACGGAACAGAGTCGGCGGCGGAGATCGCCAACGGTCGTTTGGCCATAATGGCTGTCTTCGGGACGTTGTTCCAGGGCGACTTGACCGTCATGCTGCAGTGACCTCATACAATTTGTGATATGCCAGATTTTTGTTGACTCGCTACTGCCAGTCCGCGAATTCAGAACTCAGACAAGGCAAACGGTGCTGTTCCAGCATATTTTGTGGTATGACATGTTTCTCCATAGATTTTCCAAGGTGCCCTATGTTCTTTGTCTTGCTGTCTGAGGTGAAGCTGGCTTCCTATATTTATGGTAGCGTTTTGTTTATTGACGTCAAGTTTGTAGTTTGTGTGGTTCACGCATCTTTTGCGTTCGACTGGGCGGCGTGTCCGCCGCTTCCCTGGGAGCCCCAACCGGCGAGGCAGTTCATCAGACATTTTGGCGATGCCTTCTCTCTGACGGGCGCAGAAGCACCGCGTCTTCCCCTCGGGTTCTGAGGGCGCGAGGCCGTTCTGAGGATGCGGGAGTTGCGCGGTTTTCACAGCAATGTTGCGCGCGGACTTCGAGCTTGCAGCGCACGTGTTGCCGGATTTTGCCTCTGGGGCTGTCAGATGGCGGCCCGTGGCTGCGTCGAGGGCAGGGGGGCTGCGACGCGCGCGCACGCAACTTGCCGCCCACCCGGGAAGCGCGCGGTGCAGGACGCACGCGGCGATGGGCCTCGCGCGTTCATGCCGCGAGTTTGCCCTCTGGCTGCGGGCCAGATTGCGCCCGCGCGCGTCGACTTCTGGGGCCCTGCCGGGTTCGCGGCGGAGGGTGGCGCGGACGGCTCCGCCGGGGGGCGCCAGACGGGGCGCGGCCGCGTGAGCAGGCCGGCGATGACGGGGTACATCGCGCCCAAAATCACCGGCAAGCTGCCCGTGCACATCTTGCCTCCTGCCTGCCTGAAGGTCGTGGACATCCCGAACGGGCTCGAGGCGATCTCCCAGGTCTCCACGGCGGGCTGGGCGCAGATCGCGACGCGCGGTGCCGTCTGCGAGCTATCCCAGGCCCAATACGCTCACGCCGCTGCCGCCGCAGGCCGCGTCGGCGGCAAGGTGCCGATGTTCAGCGACGCCGACGAGAAGCTGGGGAAGCCGGCGGCGGGCACTGCCAGCTGTCACTTGGCCGTGATGGCCAGCGTCGGGACGTCGTTCCAGGACGGTTTGACTTGCTCCGCTCGGGGCGACTGGACCTTCACACTGGGCTGCTCCTCCGCGAACGTTCTCCGTGCGACGCGGAGATCCTTCCCCGGGGGTGGCCCCGCTGTCTGCGCGGAGGGCTCAGCCTTACACAATTGAACATGCACCGGTTCGGTGCGACCGCGCAGGCAGGGAGGGCGCCAGGGTGGAACGCAGCGAGGAGGTCGAGAGCGAGGGTACGATCGCAATTAAACGCGCACCAGTTCGGCGCGACCCTGCAGGCAGAGAAGAGGCCGAGAGGGAGGACGAGAGGGAGGTTTTGATCTTCACAATTGACCATGCGCCAGTTCGGCGCGACCCCATAGACACCGTCAGGAAGAGGAGGCAGGAAGGAACACTTCCCCCTCGGGCAAACCCTCCGCAGATTGCCGCGCGCACTCCGTGCGCCACGGGGCCCCTTTCACAGACAATTCCTGTGGCCGCGGTGGCCCCCATTTCGCCGTCGGCATGCCCCAGTTCGGCGCAAACCCCTGGGACAGGAAGGGCGGGGCGGGAACCGACGAGAGACTCCCCCCGCGGGTCCGCGCGCGCCCTCCGCGCGCCCAGGGCCCCCCCTTCCCTGGGGAAGCCCTCTGGCGGCAAGCTGGGACCCCCCGTGCTGACTGCGAACGCGCGCCAGTTCGGTGCGACCCCGCAGCTCCGATGGGAGTCGCGGGAGAAGAGCTGGCAAGACCCCCCCAGACTACCGTGCCCCCCCTGCGCGCCGAGGGCCCCCTGCAGACTGCCGCGCGCCCGCCGTGCGCCATGGGGCCCTTTTTCACGGGGGGGCCCCTTTGGCCGCGGGGGGGCGTGACATTCCACCACTGATCATGCGCCAGCTCGGCGCGACCCCGAGGGCGATGAATGTGAGGAACAGGGGAGAGCCCCCCCCCCAGGTCCACGCCCGCCCTCGGCGCGCCGAGGGGCCCCCCCCTCTCAGGGAGCCCAGGGAGGGCGCCCCGAGCAAATAGTGAACGCGCACCACTTCGGCGTCACCCCGCTGGCAATGAAGAGATGGGGGCGACGACGGAACGCAGGGATGAGGTCGAGAGGGAGCGAGGGCGTCACCTCCACAATTGACCATGAACCAGTTCGGTGCGACCCCACGGGCAGGGGAGAGGCCGGGGAGAGACGAATCCGCCGCGCCGCCGGGAGGGCGCCGCCGCAGCCCGCTGACCCCGCGCCGGGTCGCTGCCGCCCCAAGCCCGAGGCGGAAGGGAGGGGAACGGCCCGCCCTGTCCCCCCGGGCAGAGGGGCCGTCTCTGTCCCAGGCGTGGCTTCGGCCGCGGGAAGAACACAACCCCAGCTCGCTGACCCTGAACCTGCATCAGGTCGGCGCGCCCCGAGTGACGGCGGAAACGCGGCGGCCTACGACGAGCCTGGCCCCTGCCCTTGCCCCTCGTCGCCACCGCTGGAAGGCGGAACCCATCATCGCCATCCTGCGGCGCCACTGTGACACCATAGGGGCTCCATCGAGGCCTGCGGAACACCATC